AAAACTTTTCTGTCTTAAAAATTGTAAAATAAATAAACTTCAACGAATTCCTTAAACATCTACAAAAAAAATTGTCTTCCTCTCGTGCTATGCCTGTGCATTTATTATTGTTCAGAAAAGTTACAGAATTCTCTTCCAAATAAAAAATAAAAAGTTGTTTTTAAGGAATGAGAAATTTCCAGTTCGCGCATTTTGCATGCCACACAATTTCACTTCACAGCCAATTTTCGCATTCTTTTTCTGTTGCTTTATCCATAGAACTTCCATTGAAATTCATAGAAGCATTGATAATTTGTGTTTGTAATCATATAAAAAAGAGCTACCGTTCTTCACTGGCTTGTGTTGTAACAGTAGATATGTATGGCATACATAAAATGTGTGTAGGAAGGAGAGACAGTGCGGCTAATCCAATTATGGCATTTAAAACACCTTTTCTGAATGGAACTAAGCGGCTTTCGAGTGCATACTTCGTTAAACCTTTTTATGGCGGAAATAAAAGGAATTTTCTCATTTTTAATTCGTTTTAATTTCAACAATTTCGCGTTTTGGGGATTCTTTCTCTTATTTCGTGTGGTTTCGCCAAGCGTAAGCGATAAAATATTTTTTTTAAGGGTTTTATTGACTGAATTATTCTATGGATGGAGGGGTTTCATGAGCTAATTGAAATTGTTATGTGCATGTGGATTAATTACATTAACCAATCTCAACACTTTGTGTACAAAAAAAAGGGAGTGAAGATGAATAACAATAATAATCATGATGATATTGTCAATAACTTTTATTTCCTCTCCCTTTTTTTGCTTTAAGTGCTGATCATTTGAAAGGAATCATTGAACTCAAAATGAAAATTGCTTCTTACACTTTATTTCTATTGAGAACAATCTCAGTGATTGTTATTGCAAAGTTTTTCATTAAAATTATTATTTTTGAGCTTGATTTGTTGCTTGAGAGGGTTTTGTGGTTAATATTGACTTTTATTGAGATGTTGCAGCACAAATTTGAAGATATAGAACCAACTTTATGGAAGGGTTAAGGATTTTGAATGTAGCAAGTGTTGAACAGTTCCACCAGGGGCGTAGCCAGGGGGGGGGGGCATAGGGGGCTTTAAACTTTTGAAGAATGAATATAGATTTAAGGATACAAAATAACGGTTTTTTAATTTTCGAAAATGCCCCCCCCCCCTTAAAAATTTTCTGGCTACGCCCAACAAAATTTGAATGAACGAAAAAGCAGCAACAAAAAGAAGAAGAAACGATAATTTAGAGAGCATGAGAGATGAGAAATTATGAGTTTATTGAAATTTCCATTAACCCCGAAGTGTGAAAGGAGAATGTGCGCGATTTGTTTATATCACTTAAACATACAATAGCACAAACAATGAGAAAAGAAAAAAAAAGTTACTACATGATTGTTTATATAAAGAATTATTGCTTCTGTCTATTGTATACGTAATTTCTCGCTATTAATTCAATAAACTAATAAATTCATTATCGAATTTATGCGAGGCTGTTTAATGCTTCTATTGTCATGTAGATTGCGAAATTGAACTGCTGCTTATGTATGAGGATAGGTGATAAGTTATTTTAGATGGTGTAATGAAAATTTAATGATTATTAGGTTTTTTGGGAAATTTGTGAACGGATTTTTAACGTTTCGTGGCTTTTGGGGTGTGTGAGAATGGATGATAAGGATGTTGGATGTGTTTTTTGGTGCTGGATGCTATGAGTTTAAGCGTAGAAAGCTAGTGAATTGAGAAATGATTCTAAATTAGAAATTTCATTAATTATATGTTGGTGATATGAAATACAATGTTGGAGGGTATTCATAAATAATGTTACTGAATTTTGACAAACCTTTAGCTTGTTACATGACTCTAGAACTTCATTAGATATTAACAGACCCTTAAATTATGCTAAATGTCATTAAAGAAGACGGAATAAATATGTCAAGGAATGAAGAACCTCCTCTCCAATCTAAGACTACCCCTTCATGTCCTAATTAAAACTGTGCTTTCAAAATCTCCAAAAACATCACCAACAACACTTCTCAACAATATTTGATGTCAAATGAGTTCATTAAAATTAATTATATATAATTAATCCAAATATTTCATCACAATCCTTTAATAAACAATTCCTATAATTTTCAAAATCCGTATAATATTCATGCTGTGCATACATTAATTACTGCGACTCATGAACGAGATTTTCAATACAAATATTTACAGAATAATATTCATAATTCACTCAAGATGAATATTTCGTCCACACTTACCGGCAAATTTCATATTTTTTAATAAAAATTAATCCCACCTTGATACATAAATAATATTAAATTTTACGGCAAGCAATTCCTGATGTCAAAATAAAGCAGGTTGATAAAAAATTGTAAAAATTAATTTTTGAGGTAAATTTTTGTTGGGTTTTAAAGTTGTCATTACAAAATGTGATTGAGGATGTAAATAAATTTGAATTATTTGCAGTTGTGAGGATGAGATTTTTGTGACATTAAATGGCTGGACTACCTAGCATGGAAGTGTGATCCAAGGGGGGTCAGGACTGTAGTCAATGACTTGCGATCGTTCCTCACTTTCAAAACTTTCAATGTTTCGGAGTTTAGTCACGAATTGGAATCATTTGGACAGTTAATTTAGAAAAAAAAATCTTTAATCAGCCTCTTTGTCTACCAATAATACACAATGTTCATTAAAATCATAAACATTCAAAAAAGTAAATCTCAAAATCCCAAAAATCTATAAACATTATCAAATTTTGACATATGATTGACTTAAGCTAAGCTCATTCACCTTTTTCTTCCCACATCTTCAGCCATAAAAAAAAATTTATTCAAGTCAATAAATTTTGCAAAATTTATCTTCCAAATCAGATCTGACATATGCACTGTATAGACAAAAAAAAATCACTTTAAATATTCCTCAATCCTCATTTAAATAAAATGAATTTCTCATCGCCCCCTTTTTTTCATTCGACACCTTAACAATCAAGTCAAATGAGAAAATTCCAAACAAATTGAATGGAATTTTTATTTTATTTTATTTTATTTCATAAAAAAAAATTGAAATTGATTCGATATTGCGATTTGCGATTACAATAAAAATCTGAGATGTGTGGAGTGAAAATTTTCTCCTCGTTTTAAAATTTTCTGTGTAAATAGAGCATCATTGTAATGTAAACATTTGTGATTTTAATACATATCGTTTAAATGTGCATTTTTACCTCCAACCCATATATTATTTCTATTTTACCAAAATATCAAATACAATATATTGTGTTGTATATATAGCGCGGGAGACACAATAAGTAAGGATGGTTTTGAGTATGAAGGTAGAAAGCGAATTTTGGTAGCTTAGAAAAGCTAGTCTTAAACTGTGAAATATTTATTCAGGAAATTCTGAATTATAAGATTCGAACTAGTAAGTTGAAGGGATAAATATTCGAATTTTCTGTCATTTTTGTATGAAATGCTTATACTTCACAAGCGAATGCTTCTGACAAATATGAGAATATAAGGACTTGAACCTTTGTCATATGAGCAAACGCGTTTAATATCGAGAAACTCCTCATAAGCTTGATTGACTTGGTTAACAATTGGCTAGTTAATATTTAAGTTGACAGACAAAAAGACATACTTCAAACATTTCTCTTTAAAAATCTGATAATGCGTGAAAAAATGTTGTATGTGAGTCAAAATTAAATGTGTATACACAATATAAAATGAGAAATGAATTAAAAAACGTGAAATGAAAATGAGAAAGTGAGATGGAGAAAAATGATTTCTCGTGAATGTTACCTGATGACAGCATCCATTTAGCGCACGGCGGAAAAAGAAATTTATTTATAAAAACAATCGTAAAACTAATTTTAAAAGCCATACACAGCGGTAACGATGTGTATTTTTGATGCCATTTAAAAAATTATAATTTTTTTTCCGTGTGCAATGCCGAGAACAAAATATTAACTGGCAATGATTAAAGTGCTAGAGATTAATGTGCTGATATGAGAAATATTTCAAGAGATTTCTCCAAATTTAATAATTTGTATGTGTTTTCTCAAAAAAATGATTCATGGAACTACTAAGACTGCCAGATTCTCTAGTTTTATTCTCGAAATATTGAAGAAAAAAAATATGCTAAGTTCATTCGTAATCAAGTTCATGGCAATAAATCACGCGAAGAAAATTAAAATTTTTTTAAAAAAATATTTTTAGAAAAAAGTTTCGGTTTTCATTCTCTAAAAATATTTTAATTTGATATTTCCATATTTTGACGCAATTTTCTACTTAAAGACTTGATTCGTAGAAGGTTGGAGTGATTAATGAAGAATTTAATTTTTTTGTAGCTAATTAGTCTTAGTGTTGATGAGTTATTTGTTGGATATTCATTAATTTTGTGATGTTCTGGGAATTTTGATGCTCCTGGTTGTCATGCATTGATATTTAGAGGCAAATCAGGGCTGTATTTGACGCCAGAAAGGAAGTGTAGCATCTGAATACACTAAATTAACCATATTAAGTCATGAATATTGCAAAAAAATGGGTCTAAGAGGGTCTAGACCCTCATTTGAGGTTAAAACTTAGTTCAATCCCTCTTCGGGTGGTCATTCCCTATTTGGAATAATTTCTCGCTTCACAACAGAGGATAAACGCGCTAAAATGTTCAAACAACCAGACCTTAAAGTCCATACATCATGCAAAAAATTCTAAAATTAATTTTCTTCTTCTCCTCTGATTCTCCTTAATAATCATCATTTCCACAAGTGAAAACTAAGGAACCTGTAATCAAATGCATCTGGCAGTCACTTGCACATCATCTCATATGTTTTAATTTTACATCCCTTCATCACTTTTTATTTGCATTCATCACATTGAATAAAGCACTTCCATTCAAATTCAATGCAATGAAATTGAAAAAATAATTAAATTACATCAAATACATCACCATTAATTTTTATACTGATTGTTGCTTCTTTTTCTTCCTTTGCAGACTCAATTTTCATCTCATCAAATATTTCTATTACACAATATCATTGTTGTTACTGCTGCTGCCGTCTTTATTGAATTGTGAACAAGAAGAAGAAGAAGAAGAAGTAAGGCAAAAAATCGATATTTTTTTTTTCTCACTGCCTACACTTGATAATACATAGGAAAAAAAGAGTATTTAACATACGTCATCATAATAATCATCAAAGTGAGAGGACATTGACGTCAGAGAAGAAGGATGTCACCATCAAAATTACTATCATTCCACCACGATGAAAACTTAATTCATCCACAGTCGATTCTCAACCTATCGTCATACACAGCTTCGTTAGCGTCGTCATCTTCACCGGCATCAGGTATATCACACGACAGCGGTGATGGGCGTTCTTCAAGTAGCTCTCCAAATAATTTAAATAACAACATGTATAGTGGTTATGGTCACGCATGCTCTCAATGTACCTCGTCATTTCTTACACGAGATTTGCTGGAGAAGCATGAACTTATGCACATTTCAAATGCAACGATGGTGAGTTTCTGCCTTCCTTTCTTACTTACTTCTGCATTTTAAAGTCCGCTTTCTTTATTGAGGAAATTTAATTAATTTTTTTTTTGAAATGCAACGGAGAAAAATTTTTCAATTAAATTTAAAAGTGGTAAAGGAATTAAATTCTTTTTTTCTTATCTTGCCGTGCATCTTTTACCACTTCGTTGAATATTCATGAAAATATAAAAAGTTTTCTTTTCTTTATGTGTTATGCTGTTTGAAAATATGGGAATTAAAAGTAGTAAAAATGAATGAGGAAAAAAATTTCACAACTTTATTCCAATCCTCTGCAATTAAACTCGTTCTTTGTGTTACTTTCTCATGGAGGGGATTTTCTTTTAAGTTTTTTTGAGGATGACAAGGACTGGAAATGAGATTTTTGGATTTTTTGTAACTCGGAAGTCAAATTCTCATCATCTAGCAGGAATCGAACACACAAACAATAAATTTTCTGCATAATTCTTGTTGGATACTTATTCAGTCTATTTTTTGGCATATTCAGCTATATATATAAATAGCTTGGAACCTAATAATCAACACTGGACCTACAAGACAGACTCTAATCTTTACTAAGTTCAAATGGCAATGGCACAATGGTCAAATGGCATTTTTTAGACATTTATGACTTTAAACAGTCTCGAACAACCTAAGATCCCATTTAATGACTCAAAACTAATTAAAATCAATCATTCCACTGCCAAAACCCTCAAAAATATTCCAATTTTCACCAAAAAGTTAACAACTACTCTTCTTATTTAATATAATCCTTTTCCATCCATAATCCAATTTCACAATCGCTCATCAAGGTGCAATATTTCCGAACCATGAGTCTCCCCTTTTTGCCAATTTAATCCAATTTAAACTTTAAAATAATACAGAAACAACTGAAAGACTCAGCGAAAAAAACAAAAATTCGATTTGAAAAAGAAGCTAATGAACTTTTTGTCTACTGCTTCGTATGTAAACAATATTGCGTTGATTTTATCCTTTTTTTCTGTCTCATAAGAAACTTTTATTTTTTTTTATATAGGATAAATAAGAATAAGAAGAAGAATAAGAAAGAGAACCTTGAACCATGTTTTGCATTCAGCAACAGAAAATTTAATAAAAGTAAATAATGGAAAAAAATATAAATTCATGGGAAAATGAATCGCTGTATATTTCAATTTTATATAAAGTGTGTATGGGGGATGCTGCTCGAGGGGGTCAAGTGGAGTGAAAAACTTTTTTCTTTCTCTATCCACCTCACTCGTTCCAGTCGTCAATGTTTTGCCTTTTTTCTGAAGGAAAATCGATAAAAACGTAAGAAAGAAGACAAGCTTGGGTTCTTAAATATGAAAAAAGACGGTCCACTCAATATTACTTTTTTGTCATCCCTTCTGCCATGTCCATCCATGATAAAAGCATACAGATATACATAATATGGAATGAGTGAGTGAGACACATGCATATGAAATAATATTGTTGGGCCATAAACTTTAATGTTCCACATATTTTTTTCTACTCATATTTGAAATTTTCATTTTTATGTTCCGATGACACACCGACTGTATCGACTGCTGTCCCTTCCATACAAAGAAGGGAAATGTTTTCTTAACATATGGATGAGGCAGTACGCATAAAATAAAGATGAAAAAAGGCCCTCAATTCATTTCTTTTTTTTACATCTCAATATATTTCCAATGACCACCTCTGATCATTGCCTCTGGCTTTGCACGTCAAGATGATGCGCCGTTTTACTTTTTTTTATGTTTTCATAGCTTTGAAAATAAATAAATTGGGTTTGAGTATGGAGGGAGGGGTATTGAAGGTGAAGGAGAGTTACACACGAATTTTAAGGACAATTTGAATAGGAATTGGGCTAGTTTTGAACAGTAATATTACTATAATTGATATATTGGTTATGATTGTCTAGTCTTCACCTGAATCGAGGTTCTATAATATTAAAATAGTCTCATTTCGTCCTAAAGCTGTGCTAGGATTTGAACTTAAACTCCTTAATCTAAAAATTGAGACTCGAACCTAGGAATGTAAACCTAACATTATGTTTTATGGGTCTTAAGCATTTAACCATACCCATATTAAGCTTCATTACTTCTTAAACGATCAAACAGCATAAACACGTTTCCATTAGAGTCACTCAGTATTAAAACGCCATGAATAAAAAATTACATCAAAGATTCTTTTCTCCTTGCATCTCATTTCGCATGCAAAAACGTATTCATCATGTCATTTATGATTATTTCTTCTTATTTGCTTCATTTCACAGTGTAAAATTTGCAATAAATTATTTGCAAATGTTTATCGCTTACAGCGTCACATGATTTCACACGATCAATCGACAGATTTGAGGCGTTTCAAATGCGAGGAATGTGGAAAGGCATTTAAATTTAAGCATCATTTGAAGGAGCATTTGGTAAGGTTGATGTGAAATTTGATGACTGATGCAAAGATTTTCATTGACTCTTTATTTTATTACAGCGTATCCACAGTGGTGAAAAGCCATTCTGTAAGTATTTATGGTAAATTAAGGAAATATCCGCATACTAAATTATGTAATTTTGAATACAAATAGGCTGTCCAAGTTGCGGCAAACGATTCTCACATTCAGGCACATTTTCATCACACATGTCAAGTAAAAAATGTAGATCAATGAATCCAAATATGCCAATCAAATCACGAACAAGACGCAACATTCGAGGACAAGTGGAACAACAAGAAGGACAACAGTCAAACTTACATCTACCCATTAATCATCGTCATCAGTCATTTACAATAAAAGCATCAGCAGAACATGAGACTCATCATCATCAAAATCATCATCACTATCGTCTAATGGAACAGTCACAACAGCAAAAACAACAGCAACAGACACCATTAAACGAGACAGAACAAATGTATGTATTAGATTTAAGTTTGAAGAATAAGAAAAATATAAATGATGACGTTGAGACGAGGAGCATGAGCGATGATGACGTAAAAATTAAGAACTCAAGTAGTCATGAACTGCCGCATCCATTACAGTCATTACTTAGTGGTTTCAATAAGCCATTATATACATCGAATGACATGACAATGTTTTGGAATATGCTCATGCACTTTTCATTTAATAACTATCAAAATTACTTTAGTCAGTTTAAGGATAATAATAATGTTAATGTTGATGTGCTAAAGGGACGATATTAAGGATCATATGTGGATAATTAGTGCGGGGTTGGAAGCAAGTGATGTCTAGCATGGGGTAAAGATCAAGATGCTCCTTAATGCTAGTTTTAGCTAGATTTCAATTGAAACTAGCTTCATACCAGCCTAATGACATATAGTAGACAACTAATGAAACTGTGCTGTCAGGATTCTCCCCTCAAATATTAGACGTCACTAGCAAAAGACCCCAAATATATATGTAAAGTTATTTATAGACCTAAGATACACAAGAAACGATGTTGATGTGAGAAATGATAAAAAAATTTATATAAATAAAAATTTATGCGAATGTGCGCAATGGAGGATGCGAACAACGACCTTGCAAATAGTATTTCTTATACATAAAAAATATATATACATATATACAAGTCACAGATACGTAGATACTAAAAACACAAAAAAATTATACATTCATCAAATCTCATTCATTCATTCATGTTTATAAGGACAATAATTTGTACATAGAATGAATAAATAATTTAATGGAAAATTAAGGAGAACCAAAAGATGCACAACAAAAGATAAGGAAGATGGCAATAAGGCCATCTTAAATTACCTCCAACCCAGATACATATGATGAACAATTTTCATTGCCAAACAATCTTCATACACAATTCATTTTCTATTAAATAAACATAACGATCTTTTCATATGTGATGAGAATAAATAGAGTTGAAGATGGTTTAAATGTGGATTGGTCGAAGGATGGAGACTTGATGATTATTTTTTGGGACATTTTGGGTTAGAATTCTAGAATTTCCTGACCTAGAAGAAGTTAGAATTGACACTACATGATCTGAGTTCAATAGATTACAGATCTTGAACTAGTTCACGTTATTTTGAGTACTTAACCTACATTTCAAGGGTTTTAGCTTAATTTTGAGGACATATGACTTCAAAAAAAAATTCATTATCTTGATAAGATTCGAACTCAGGACCTCATGATCGGTGTTGAAACTCTACTACTAAGACTATGCACTATCGAAACATTTCAGCTCAGTGGAGAATTTTGCATATATATCCCTTGCCTAATTCTGATCAAAGCCCATCCCTTGATCAAAGACCAACTCAAACATATTCCAACAAGCCATCAACAAATTCTCAAAAAAGTATCAAGAAAATGGATGAATAAAATAACAATACGAATGACATAAACGATATAATTGTGAATAATCTATTTCATCCTATTAGTAAAATTAAATGGACACTAAATGCTAATGAGTTAATATCGGATATGTCGTTTCTCATATTTTGCCAACATTGCTTCGTTTTCTTCACACATGACATATGTATTAAATGCATTTCTGCACAAATGAAAGATGCAAAGGAAATTTCTTTTAATTTCTTTTTTTTTCTTGAAGAATCGTGTGATGGGAAAAGGAAAGGAAAATTGTATGATGATTTATTATGTGGAACATAAATAATTATTAACGGGTGTGTTCAGTCTATAAGCCATAAATGCGAATAAGATGGTAACTAGTCATATTATTTTCAAAATCTAAGTGCTTTTATTTATGAATTATTTACGCAAAGTTTTAACGCATCGTTAATTTCATAAATCACATTTTAATTGAATTAATTTATTAAGTGGCTACTTAATTATCGCAATTTTCCACTATTTACTAAACACACCCGGGAATAATGGGATGATGTTTTTAATAAAAGAAAAATCTTTATTAATGTGTATTGTCTGTGAATGAGATGGGCGATTAATATTAGATGGGGCAGGATTGAAAAGTCGATTTGGTTGGTTTGTGGTTTTGTAAACTCTAAAATAAGACACAGTACTTGCTTATTAAGTATTGAATTAATCCTAATTAATTGAAGCTAATCTGCCAGTGTGAGAGTAAAGCCTCTGTGGCCTAGTGATTAAGTAATAGGTCAGAATCTAATAGCTTACATTTTGTAGGTTTGATTCCCACCTGAAGATCGATCTTTCAATCAAAGTTTCTAAACCATAAAATCAATTTACCACTCAATCCTAATCCTCATCCAAAAAATCGCTAAAAATTAAATTATTAAAACATTCTGCCTCAATATTTTATAAATTAATTGTAATTTAAAAATGAAAAACAAGAAATTATTACGAAAGAGTTAAATTGATTATTTATAGTTAAACAAATTTAAAAGAACATGAAAAGTAATTTTATTGTAAATGGAAAGAAATTAATTATTGAAATTAATTCATCAACGAAATCCTTGCACAACATCGGCAGAAACAACGACATAATACAATAATTTTAAGGTGAAATAATTGTGAAAAAATCTATCATAAAATGAGAAAAAAAAATTATAAATAAAGGAGAAAAAATTATTCACAAAATAAATGCATGTGCAGCTTGTATGTGAAATTAATTGACCTGTCAACACGACGAATCATTAAAATTAATTGCATTTTACAGATTTAGATCAGCATTAGCATTAAATGCACTACCTTTATTCTAGTGAAAATTCAATTTTCTTTTTCAGTAAATTTACCATCATCGTTGTGGATTTGAAACTGCATTTAGGTTCAAAATTTAATTTTCTTAGCCACAGATAGCAATAATTTTCAATAATCTTCTTGTTATCGTATGGGAAGTTTGTCAGAAAGTAGTAGAAAAATTTTGGTAAATTGCAACTTGAGTGAGTCAATTTAACATCTAAACTGATCAAGTTTGTTCTCTTCAGAGCCAGTATCACGTCTTTCAGACAAAACATTTTAATAGAACCAACTTAATGATATATGCATCAAACTTAACTGTCTATTGAGTCAACTTTACGTCATTCAGAGTCAATTTCAATCATGATTTCAATTTTATCACAAAAGTTCATCAAAATATAACCAAAACTCATCATAAGGAACCTTTTAAACCGTCTATATCCAAGTATCTACAGCAAAATTGATTGACCATGCATCGAACATTGTTGAAATCTAGGTAATTGAGTTTAATTACACGGAAAATTGCAATTACACAAATTACATACACACAAAATGTGCATTTACCCCGAAAAAGTGATGCAAAATTCAATTTAACATTCTGTAAACTAAATCGTTCGTGTGTTTTGTGGATATTATTGATGGCAAAAAGTAGATGCAGCAGAAAATGTTTCTGGATAGAAAATGCACATTATGCAAATTTTGACTTTTCCTCCATTGAACAATATAATAGGGATATACATGGCGATTACAAATATCCACGTTTACAGACAGATCAACGTTACAAATAATTTAAATTGATTTAGCAGATATTTAATTTCATTCTGTACAAACCGTGCTATGAAAAATTTCCACGTCTGATTGTGCGATGGAATGGAACTAAGTGGAGTTACAGTATCAGAATTCATGTCCATGGATATGTACATAATATAATTTAATTATGCAAATATCATTCACGCAACAATATAAAAAAGGGATATCCTAGAAATGAAGTCAACTGGACTGATGGGCCATTAATAAAATCTGTGTTGGGACAGTAAAGACTCAGTTTCCGATTGAGTTTTTCAACTTCCTTTTTTTTCTCTATTTTCTATGTAAAATGTTTCAAATTAATTTTCAATTGTTTTTACATCGGTACCTAAAATTGCATACATGCACAATATACAAAGAGTAAATTCATTTAGGAGACAACAGAAGCTTCATGTTATTGTTGATGCGGCAGAAAATTTTCATGTTTTTTGGTCAACATATTTCCACAATGTTTATGGAGCAGGAGGATGGCATTATCAAAAATATAATATCAAACACCTGTTTTTCATGTTTAGCCTAGTTGAAGTGTGTGGGTGGATGGATTTTAGGCCAATATCTAATGCGAATTTATATTTTTTGATACATTCCACATTCATTTATGACATTTTCCATATTTTACGACATTGAAATCTGTTTGTGTGTTATATCCATTTTGGATCATAATTGAATTTAATGTTCGTTGTGGTTTTTCGGTCGGGTACATCACCGAATAACTTTCATTTTTTGATGTGTCGATGAAAATCAACTGACATATGACTTTTATTTGTGCTGACTGATTTTTTGGTGGTCGCTGTGTTGTTGGTAGCCTTTTGGTATTGTGTCTGCTTCATGTTGTGTTGTTGAAATCTCTCAATGATACTAGCATATTCTCATAGCAACCAGAATCCAAAACTAAGGCTAATAAGTCAGCAAACTAGGTTTTACCCAAAAAAGACACATTCACAGAGGTCCGTAATGCTTTGTCTCCTTTATTTGTAGCATTTGTTCATTAAATCGGGAAAGTGGCGGTGATCTTGTGACTATTTAACAGCCAAAGTTATGATAAATCTAAAAGGCTGATCCAGATCGTTTTTGACGGGCAATGATTGATAGTATCCCACCAATAAATTGTAATGATGATTTTCTGGAAGGATTTTGTTCTGTTAAGGATGTCTTTAACAATACAGCTACTCCTTAATGGGTATGAACTTATCTACATCAAAAGAGCCCCCAGTAAAATGCGCTATAGTCACTCCCTCACCTGACTATCTGAAATTCCTCCCCAACTATAGATCAAACATTCCATCCAAACAGTCGCATCTGTGAGTACGTACCTTTCAGCTCCTTTTCCAATATTTAATTTTCATTGCACACACATAAAAAGTGATGACTTTTCGTTTTCATTTCTCTCTTTTTCAATCTCTATCTAGCATGTTGGCATATAAATTGTATGTATATAAGACAATATGAAGACAAAATTGTATTGTGAATATAGACGATGACGATGGTGATGATGATGATGATGCAAAAGTGTAGCTTGAAGATTGAAACATGTTACTAATGATTTGAGATTAGATTTATCGTATATTATTGTTTCTGATATACCAAAATGTTGTCCCATAACTATCAACAACAATAATATCACAACATACGGTAGCACGTTCGACGGACAAGTATCTATTCTGGTCAAATATGATATGCATCTACATGAGCTCCCCCTTCTTTCAAACAACTAGTGAGATGAAGAAAATAAGCGAAAAAGTTGTGTATTATGAAAAGGAATAAACACGTATTCAATATTTTCATGACTACAAACATGATAAATTAAGGTTTAATCAATTATGAAAATATCTTTACCTTCCCAACAACAATCGTTTGCTCCTATTTTTGTCTATCCTCATACATCCGATTTCCCTTATATCCCGTACGTAACAATTTTCCCATTAAAAAGTTTTCCTCTTTAACGAAACAAAAATGAAATGAAATTGCTGCAAATTGAAAGCAATAACAATTTTAAGAACGTGAGTTATGAGAGAATTGGAGGGATGGATGTGTTCGTTTTTTTGGCATGCAATAAGCTGGAAGGACAGTTTGTTCTGGATGATTTTGATCAATTCTTTAAAATTGATTGATGGTTGTTAGGTGTGCTGTGGTAGCAGAAGAAGCTGTTGACATAGACAGTATTGCACTTAATAATTGGCAAACGGTATGGATCACAATTGATCTGTACGGCCAGCGAAGTAAGTAAAGTAACTAGCAACTTGACCTTGGAGTTTAGTCCAAGAAAACCTCATCTTCCTAAAGAAGAGACTGAAAGAAGTTCTGAATTGCGTTTCTCCCTAAATCATTGATATACATGAGACTCTCTAACTTGAATAACTCAGACTACAATAAGAACTTTTCCTTAGTTTGATTTTTAAGGATGAAGGAAAAACTTTTTCTTCTCCATTTCTTTGTTTTTCACCTAAAGGTTTCCTGTATCAATTTTCTATCACTTTTATCACATATCCAATCTATCCTTTTACAATTGATGGGCTAAAAATTGACCAGAAGTGAAAGTAAGGAAGAGATTCCTTAAGTGTAAAAACCCAAAGGATTTCCATTCAGTTAATATATTTATGTAAGTAGATTGAAAGAAATATTAAGGGATGAAAAGTTTTACCCTAACATACAGCAAGAAAAGGTTAGATAGACTTTAAGGTGTGAATGATGAGAAATTAAAATCCATTATAATGCCATAAACACATTCTTAATTGCTTGCGGCCAAGAAATTCATTTTAAATCAAAAACTTTCCCTCCGATATGATTTTTCATTTTAAAATGCCTTAAGAATCTTCCTGAAAGTAACCACAACGGGATATTAAAAAACTTTATTTCCATTCTTTTGTGTTATCATCACTGAAAGACAAAGTTTTTGTGATGATTTTTACTTTTTTTGTGTGTTTGTGCTGTAAAAATTGCAACAGATTATCTTTGAGAGCAAAAAAAAATGTAAGAAATAAATCTTACCTTCCTTTATTGCTTGACCATCCAAAGTTGCTTCTTTGTTGCTCAAATGGAAGAAAAAGTCATTTTTTACGGGATAGTAAGCTGTTGAGGAGATGATGCCGGTGATTATAGTGAATTTGAGTCCCAATGAGAAATGTTTTTGGTAAGGTTTTTAAAAATTAAGGTTTCAGGGTATGAAAACTAGTCTCTTTTGGTACTTAAACTTTGTCTGAATCTGTTTAGATGTAGAAATTTTCAAAAACTTCAAAAAATAAGTTTTTATCATTTTATTTGTTTATTTTGCCAAATTTTTTTAAAATGTGTAAATTAAAAAGTTTAAATCATTACAAAAAATTATTAAATTGAAGGTTCAAATCCTATGAAAACATTTCATTTTATTTTTGTTGTCTATAATTGAACTTAATTTCTTTTTGTAAATTTCTTTTTGGAACATCCAAAGTTCCTTCTTAAAGACAAAAGAAAGAAAATTTGAATCGGAAAAGGATATAATCAACGAAGCAGAGAAATAAGCAGCATAAAAAAATGAAATTCTTTTAACAAAAATATATTTTTTTTTACATGCAGTGCACAACAATCACAGTGTCAGAACGTAGCGCAAAAATAAATTGTTGCGGAAGGGAGATTACAAAGATGAATGCATTTTTTCATCCGTTCCTTATTTTTCATCTGCATCTGCAAAGTGGAGGGAGTTGAAGGAATATTTTCTGTCGTACTCATTGAGAGAGTGTGGGGTTTGTCCATTAGTGACGTAACATGGGGGATAATGAAGGTTTTTGGTAATCAGGCTTTTGCCACATCTTCTGAGGTCACTTTTTGATTTGTTCTTGAAGATGACTAAGAAATGGGGGATCTTAACCTCCCTAAAGCTGTGCAATGAGATTTGAACTCCCACTTTTTACAACTCTAATTCTACAAAGTCACTTAATCCTTATCCTGCTTGTACTTTCCAAATGCCACACATCATTTACGAACGACCCCGATATGCTGCAATTTGTGTTTTATCTTCGAATGAAAATCCACTCACTTGATTATAAATACCTGTCACTGCAATTTTCATGTAAAATTTATAGTCACAAAGTAAAGGAAGTC